GTAATCTTTAGTTATGAGTTGATAGTTTCCTAGAGAAAATTTTTAGTGTAGATGTTAGAGATTGGGTGCTGGGTTTTGTAAAACTTAGAATGTCTCTATATGCCACACAACGAAGCTACAAATTGGGTGTGTTTGGTTGACGGAAAGTTTTTTCCTCTTACTCTCGAAAGTTCAAAAATATTTTAGTATTTTCAAACTTCAATATTATAATAAATAAATTGTAAAGTCGGTGTTTTAAGATTTTATTTTCTTTAATACATATTTTAATAAACAATTTTTTCTTATCATTTTTTTAGGAGAAAAAACATTTTCTTCCATCTTTTTGAACGTGTGACTCACTTGATAATTAATTAATAGTCCCAACTTTTCCAACCTTAATTGCTTATTGAATACGAAAAAGTGAATAAACTAATAAAATTTTAATACAAAATCAATCAACTTTTCATAAATTAGCTTTTTAACCACATTGTCAATAAAGTTCTCCTCTAATAAAAGGGTAAAAGTTTAGTTTTAGCTTTTTATCTTATTAAATTTGTAAGTTTTAATCTCTCACATTATATTATGACACTTTTAGTCCATTACCAATTAAAATTAAAGAAAATAACACTAATTTATAATATTTTTTTTAATTTTATTAACTGACTGTTAAATCTATTAGTCGACTATTAGTTGATTGTTAACTGGTAAAAATTTATTTTCAACTAATAAAATTAACAGTTAATTAATAGAATTATTTTGTTAGTTGACTGTTAACTAGTAAAACTTACTTTAAACTAATAAAATTAATAGTTAATTAACAGAATTAACAATTAATTAATAAAACTAACGAAATATTATGAAGTGAAGATTATTTTTTTCAATTTTAATAGATGAGGGGTTAAAAATATCATAATATAAAATAAAGGCAGAAGGTGCAATTCAGCTCCTGTATCTGCAATGTTGTGGCATATCAGCCCCTATACTAGAAACACTGGCAAATCAGCCCCTCTACTACATGAAATCTGCAAATCACCCCTTCTATTAAGGATGACGTTACATAATGTCATCTTTCCGTTTAATTTTTGTGGCCCGTTAACAAAAGATGGTGATTGGACAATGACATGGCATTGACTTTAAAAAAATGACCTAACTTGGGAAAAAAATATTTTCAAGATTTTTTTTTTCATTTTTACAGATTTAAACATAGGGATTTTTTAATTTATACCTTAAAGGCACATGTTAAGTCTCATTTAATATAGTATTTGTAATCAATTTGATATAAAATTTTATACAAGATTCATATAAAATATAATATAATATTTTACCTTAAAATCTTTAAAAAGTAATAAACCTGATATGAAAATTTATGTAAAATTACTTTAAAATACCTTAATTAATGAAAATGGCACATGAACATAAATTTTTCTTTTAATTTTTTTGTTTTTGTTTTATATGTTTAAGGATTTGAGCACATGTTAGATAAACCCTTAAACATATAAAACAAAAAAAAATCAAAAGAAAAACTTGCATTCATGTGCCCTTCTCATTAATTAGAGTATTTTTAATTAA